CAGAAGCTTTTGAAGTCCCTGATGTACGCAGCCACAAGCCCAGCTGCCTCCCTTTGTCCACAGAATAACCACGATGGTGAACTTGATGTTGATCATCCACTTTCGTGTTCTTACTATTTTATTACCTATATATTTTTTGAGTATTTCAAAATTCTATGCACTTGAAATCTTATCTACTCTTTTAAAATGTTTTTGCTGGCCAGGCTTGGTGGTGTGTGCCTGTAGTACCAGCTACTCAGGAGGCTGAAGCAGGAAGATGTCTTGAGCCCAGGAGTCTGAGGCTGTGGTGTACCGTAATGGCACGTGTAAATAGCTACTGAACTCTAGGGCAACATAGCAAGAGCCCATCTCTATAATGTAAATAAGCAAAACATTTTTTATCTGATTATATATTTTTTTGAGGTTTATCCATCTCAAAAAAATTCATATAAAAGGAGTTAGATGAATGTTCCATTTTTATTCTCTTGTTTGTTTGCTATTTTGGATCTCTCCATTTTCTAATTTTTCACCATTATAAATAATGCTACCATGAATGTTCTCTTGGATGTGACTTTGTGTACTCGAGAAGGTGTTTCACCAGGCCAGGGGCTGGCCAACCACAGCCCTCAGGCCAAGTCTGCCACCTGTTTTTCTATAGCTTATAGGCTACCTCCTCTAAGAACGTTTTTTCACAGTTTTAAATGCTTACACTTTAAATGGTTATGGAAGTACCTGTCTTTATTCTTGGCCATTTAGGTTTCCTTTTCTGTGAATCTCCTGTCTGTAATTTTCTTACTAATTTGCAGTAGTTCTTTATAAATTTATACATTCATTCAACAGATACGTATTAAGTTCCTCTGTCATGTGGCAGCACTGTAAATATGGTAAGTGAACAAAACAGATGAAATCCCTGCCTCTGTGTCTCTTACATTCTGGTGGAGGAAAACAGCTAATAATCAAATAATATATTTGGTATAATAAAAAAATAATTTAGGGACGGGGATAAGATATGTTTTGGAGGGTCATACTTTTAAATAAGGTGATCAGGTAAGCCCCATGAAAGGTGACATTTGAGGGGAAAAAAAATCTGAAGGAGGTAAGAAGAATAACTGTACAGGTGGCAGCGGAAAGAGAGTTTAGGCAGAAGATACAGCAAGTCTTTAAAGCCCTGAGGGGGATTGGCCTGCTTACTCTAGAAACAGCAAGAAGGCCAGTGTGGCTGGAGCACAATTAACTGGGAAGAGAAGAGGAAGAGGAAATATAAGGGGGCATAGAGGCCACTGTAAGGACTTTGGCTTTCACCTGGAGTCGGACGGAAGCCACTGGAGCATTTCAAGCAGAGGTGTGGCATGGAGAGTAACACGAGTCAGCACGCCTGGATGTTTGCCCTGGTCACATTCGGCGCTGTGGACGTAGGCACACAGAGTTGACTAAGCTAGGTTGAGGTTTTTCCAACCATAATAAAGCAACAGAGGGCAATAAATATTCATGAAATTTAAACTGAGTAAATAGGAATGTGAGGGTGAAATGAAGTAGGGTCCAGGATTATAGGGTTTCAAAGAACTGTTGGAGTTGGAAGCAAGCTAGAAGGATAGGATGTAGAGGTCAAATAATGGGATATTTGAAATAGAGATTGGAAGGCCAGGTGCAGTGGCTCATGTCTGTGATCCCAGCACTTTGGGAGGCCAAGGTCGGTGAATCACAAGGTCAGGAGTTCAAGACCAGCCTGGCCAACATGGTGAAACACCATCTTTACTAAAAATACAAAAAATCAGGCATGAGTGGTGGCAGGCACCTGTAATCCCAGCTACTCAGGAGGCTGAGGCAGAAGAATTGCTTGAACCCGTGAGGCAGAGGTTCATGCCCCTGCACTCCAGCCTGGGTGACATAGTGAGACTCTGTCTCAAAAAAAAAAAAAAGAAATAGAGATTGGAAGAGTAGCAGTTATCAACAATGGCAATGGCAATGTCTACTATATGGTCCATGAGAATGAGTGGCTTTTTGACTGAGGCCATTATTTGTAATGCTATATGTGAATGGATCTGTATCTTGTCTCTCTATCATGTTTCATGAGCCAGTACCACAATATATTATTACAGTCTGAGTCTTGATATCTGATATGGCAAGTCCCTTCATTTCATTGTTCTTTCTTAAAATTAAATTAGCTATTGGTTCTTTGTCTTTCATGTGAACTTTAGATTAAGTTTATTAAATGCCACAAAAGGCTCTGTTGGGATTTTTATTGCAGTTGCACTGACTTTATAGATCATTTTGAAAAAAGTGAGAGTGTTGTAATATTGAATAGTCCCAAACATGAAGATATCTTTCTAGGGTCCTCTTTAAGGCCTTTCAATAGCATTTGTCACTTTTCTCCAAAATGGTTTTACCTGACTTTGATTAAATTTACTCCTAGATGCCTTTAGATTTTATTGCTATTGGGAAAGTTCTTTACCTGAATTTTTAAATGGTTATTAATGATCTAAAGGAGTACTATTTCTTCGTGGTGTTTTGGTTTTTTTTTTTTTTTTGTATTTGAGCTTGTATCCAGCAACTTTGCTGAACTTGTTTACTGATTCAAGTATGTATGGATTATCTTGGATTTTCTATGGTAGACCATCATATTATTGACAAATAAGGATACTTTTGTCTCTCTTGTATAGTTCTCATGCCTCATTTTTTTTCTTCCAGTACAGTGGTTTCCCAAATTTGATGGAAATAGTTTGAAATTTTCACCACTATAAAATTTGATACTGATTTTTGATAGGTAGGCTATATCAAGTAAAGGTCATTCTCTTCTATGTCTAATTTTATTATTCAGTTTTGTATTTAGCTGAATGACTTATCTGCATCTTTTGAGAAAATCAGATGGTTTTTATCCTGTAATCTATCAATGTGGTATTTGAAAATAATTTTTTTGCAATATCAAGCTTTTTTCTTTTTTTTTTTTTCTTTAAGTTCTGGGATACATGTGCAGAAAGTGCAGGTGCCATGGTGGTTTGCTGCACCTGTCAACCCCTCACCTAGGTTTTAAGCCCTGCATGCATTAGGTTTTTGTTTAATGCTCTCACTCCCCTCAACCCCCGACCCACTGATAGGCCCCAGTGTGTGTTGTTCCCCTCCCTGTGTTCTCATTGTTCAACTCCTACTTATGAGTGAGAACGTGCTGTTTGGTTTTCTGTTCCTGTGTTAGTTTGCTGAGAATGATGGCTTCCAGCTTCATCCATGTCCCTGCAAAGGACATGAACTCATTCTTTTTTATGGCTGCATAGTATTCCATGGTGTATATGTGCCACATTTTCTTCATCCAGTCTATCATTGATGGGCATTTGGGATGGCTCCAAGTCTTTGCTATTGTAAATAGTGCTGCAATAAATACATGTGTGTATATGTCTTTATAGTAGAATGATTTATAAACCTTTGGGTATATACCCAGTAATGGGATTGCCGGGTCAAATGGTATTTCTGGTTCTAGATCTTTGAGGAATCGCCACACTGTCTTCCACAATGGCTGAACTAATTTACATTCCCACCAACAGTGTAAAAGTGTTCCTATTTCTCCACAGCCATTCCAGTATCTGTGTCATAATGGCAATTATTATCAAGCTATTCTTTTAGTCCTAGGATAAGTTCTATTTGCTGTGATTATTTTCATTCATACATTGTTGAATTTGATCTGCTAGGGTTTTTGTCATTTATTTATTTATTTGCTTGCTTAGGATTTTTGTATTGATGTTTGTATTGATGTTTATAATTGATACTGGCCTAAAATTTAACGTATTGCATTGTATATTAGAGTAAGTTAGGAGGTGCCCTTACCCACAATGTTTTTTTCTATTCTCTGCAATTATTTATATAAAAATAAGAGGCTGGGCACGGTAGTCATGCCTGTAATCCCAGTGCTTTGGGAAGCTGAGGCCGGTGGATCACCTGAGGCTGGGAGTTTGAGACCAGCCTGACCAACATGGAGAAGACCCATCTCCACTAAAAATACAGAATTAGCCAGGTGTAGTGGCACATGCCTGTAATCCCAGCTACTTGGGAGGCTGAGGCAGGAGAATCACTTGAACCCAGGAGGTGGAGGTTGCAGTGAGCCAAGATAAAGCCACTGCACTCCAGCCTGGACAGCAAGAGTGAAACTCCATCTCAAAAAAAAAAAAAAAAAAATCATCTGTTACTTGAATTTTTGTTAGAATTTCTGTGTCTGTGAGTACAGGGAAGCATTACTGATTCAATACCTGTAATGATTATTAATTTGTTTTATTTGTGATTTGGTGTTGGTAATCAAAGTTTTCTAGAAAATTGCCAATTATTTTAATTAAAAAAAATTGTATTGTCATAGAATTATACATGGTATTCGCTTATAATTTATTAAACCTTTACTCAATCTGTCCTTAATCTTCTTTTTGTCCCTACGCTTATCTGTGCCTTTTTTCTTATTGTCTTACTCAATCTTACTGATCTTAATTTGCTTTTCTCAAAGATCAACTTTTGGTTAACTTGATCCAATCTATTTAATTTTCTTTATTTCACTAATTTTGCTCTTAGCTTTATTATTTCTTTTCTTATGTTTTCTTTAAGTTTGCTTTTTTTTATTCCTTTTCTAGCTTTGTGAGTCCAGTGATTATTAACTCGTTTACTTTTGTCTTTCTTATTTTTAACAAGTACTCTTAAGGTTATACATTTTCTTGTAAGATCTCTTTAGCTGGATGATCCTATTGGCCTTTATATGTAGTATCTTCATTATCATTGAAGTTCTAACATTTTTGTAATTTCCATTAAGATTTTCTCTTTAACCCATTGAGTTGTCCAGGATATTTAATTGTTCAAACATTAGGGTTTTTAGAATATTTTTTTACCCAGGACTGGGCATGGTGACTCATGCCTATAATCCCAGCACTTTGGGAGGCCAAGGCAGGTAGATCACCTGATGGCAGGAGTTCAAGACCAGCCTGGCCAACATGACAAAACCCCATCTCTACTAAAAAATACAAAAAAAATTAGCTGGGCATGGTGGAACATACCTGTAATCCCAGCTACTCAGGAGGCTGAGGGAGGAGAATCGCTTGAACCTGGAAGGCAGAGGTTCCGGTGAGCCGAGATCAGGTTACTGTACTCCAGTCTGGGTGACAGAGGGAGACCCCATCTCATAAACAAACAAAGAATATTTTTTTTACTGATGATCTCTTATCTAATTTCATTGTATTATAGCTATTCTTTGAAAACCCGGAGGGCAACTTGGATTCATTTCTAGGTCACTTAAGAACTAGCTACAGAATTTGCAGGACTAGATGCTGGATGAAATGCAGAGCCTTTTTAAGAATTTCGTGAAGGTGGCAACACAGCATTAAATCAAGCACAAAGCTCTTCTCAATGCTGTGTGACTGCCCAGGTCTCACACCCATGAAGCCACAAATCCAGGCCATGAATAATAGTTCGGGGTTTTGTGTATGTGGTTGGTTTGTTGTTTTTTCCCAGCCTCCCTTTGTTAGCAAGGAGAGCCTTACCCAATATCTGTCTTTAAAAAAAGTGAGTCTGACCATGATTCCTTTTTTTGTCCTATTAACTCCTTTGTATCTGAACTCCTGACCACTACTGCCTGATTCTGAAAGAAGGCCCCAAAGATGAATGATTTCAGGCCCCATCCTCACATTCATTCATTTCTTTTCTTTAAAAAAAATTTTTTTTAAATTCAGGAAGTATCAACAAACAGAAAACATCCATTCATTTCTAGTTCACAGAGATATATATCTCGTTTTTGACATAGGCTATGTCTTTCTTTCCATCCCTTATCTAATATTGATTGCTACGTGCTTGGAGCCGAGGATGTGCTAAGTATGAATTCACAAAGTTGTGTTGATTGAGAATGTCTGTGATAACTTAACCAACATTTTATTATGAAAATTTTCAGACAGTCAGAAAAAGTTTTAAAAGTTGCAGACTCACATACCTGCCACCTAAATTCTATCCACCCATCAATCCACATTTTAGATCAGAAAGAAATCAGTTTTAAAACATTCTCATAGAGAACTTACGAACCCCTCAAGAATCAAGAACCTCAATCTGAGAAACAAGGTTATTTGTCCATCATCTCTATCATGTTTTTCACTTAACACAGTGTTACGAAAATTTTCCTAATGATTTCATGCTCCATCACAATAGGAGGCAATTGGGAAAGACAAGACAATATGAAGTCATCATATTCATCTTTTCAGCATTTGAAAAAGAAAACAAGTCTTTACTATAAATTTTTTTTGCCTTAATGCTGCATAGTCTGAATTTTATTATTTTAACTTTAATAGCCACTTTAAAAGTGTTCTTCTATTTTTCTAAGCACACAATGGCTTTTTATAATTCTGCAAGTTTACTAAACCAAATCTGTAATAATCCGGTTTTTAGGACTATAGGACATTCACTAAGCCCATCATGCATGTTATTAGGCAGTTGGCAGCATTCCAGCAGCACATAAAGTGTTGGCACTAGAATAGCTCCAGACTCTCATGTCCACAGCAGCTGTGAGGTCTGTGATGTCCCCAGCAAGTCTGTGAAATTCATCTGGATGAGTGCCAGATTGAAGAAGACTATTCAGTTTCCTGCAGTGGGTATAGAATGGTGCTTCTGGGCACCCTTTTTCAACAAGTGTTCTAAGCACTGATAAAAAAAAAGTTCATTCTCGAATCTATCTACCTACACACTTCCCATAAGTGTTGATAAAAACAACTTTCAACTAGGAGTGTAATACACCTTACCAACAAAACGCCCTTAATTTCTACCACTTCTTACACCAGACGTAAAATTTCACTTCCTGAATAACAAAACTGGCCTTAACTAGTACCACAGAACTGTAAACAATGCTCATTTTTTTAAAATGTCCTAGTAAGTATAACTAAACAAGCTTTTCTTCCCTTCCAGATTTCTTTTAAGAAAACACATCTGGGCTGAAGCCTGATCAACAAATACTAGTGTTTGAGCTCTAAGCATATGAAAAAGTAGTATTGGAAAGCAGCCAAAGAAAGATCATCAAATAATAGACCTATGTATGTTCTTATAGGTTGAAGGATTAAAGAGAAGCGCATTGCGCTGAGAAACAGTGTAGAACAGTATATGTCATTTGGAGTTCCATTAGGTCCATTAGGTCTTATAGCATGGTAGTTACTGTACTCTTCTGCTTTGTGGAATTATCAAAGGCCATAGGCTATTCACTTAGGTTACTACAATTTCTTTTTTTTCTTTTTCTTTGTCTTTTTTTTTGTAGGCAGAGTCTCACTTTGCTCCCCAGGCTGGAGTGCAGTGGTGCCATCAGAGTTTACTGCAGCCTCAACCTCCTGGGCTCAAGCGATCCTCCCACCTCAGTGCCACCACTGCTCCCCTCCATGAGTAGCTGGCAATACAGGCACATGCTACCATACTAGACTATTTTTTTTTATTGCACCTAACTCTTTTATTATCCTGACCTGGAGAAAGGATTTAGTACAGTTATGCTCAAAAGAACACTGGGCCCATGTAGCAGGGCCAAGCAACTAGAACATGATTCAGAAATCAGTGAAAGACACACTTGGACAGGACCAAGAGGAGTCTCATTGCCACGAAACAAGGCGGCAGAGGGATTCTAAAACACAGCAGAAAGCACTCCTGCCCCTCCGAGGTCAAGGAGCTTATCCCATATTGGTATGTGGAGTGGCTTATTTTCTGATGACCACATGTGGGACTATTTCAACTGCCACGAGAAACCCCAGAAGGGCTATTGTTTTGTACTTTATACATATGCTATACTTTTGTTTGTTTTTTGAGATGGAGTGCAATGATGCAATCTCGGCTCTCTGCAGTCTCCGCCTCCTGGGTTCAAGCAATTCTTTTGCCTCAGCCTCCCAAGTAGCTGGGATTACAGGCACCTACAACCACGCATAGCTAATTTTTGTATTTTTTAGTAGAGACAGGGTTTCTCCATGTTAGCCAGGCTGGTCTCAAACTCCTGACCTCAGGTGATCCACTTGCTTCTGCCTTCCAAAGTGCTGGGATTATAGGCGTGAGCCACCATGCCCAGCTTTTTCTTTTTTTAATTTATAAAAGTAAATGTAACAACTAAACTAAATTCAGTATTGATTGCCCTTCTAGAGCCAGCTCCTCTGCGGTTAGGGAGGAAACAGTTGTCACATCATCATGCAGGTTACATTCACCTTCTGCTGGAATGACTAGGGCCCCAAGCAGTGGCCTGACTGCAGAAGAGCAGAGGACTGGCTCCTGGGGGCAGACAGGCTCTCTTGCTTCTTCTCCTCATTGGTCATGGCTTAGCAGGGTTCCTCCCCACAAGTCCTTGGTAAACAAAGCACTCACAAAATCCCAAGTCACTACCTTCAACTCTCTCGGATGAGGGGAGCCTTTCCACGACTTAGATTGAGAACCTGTGCCCCAGAAGTGCTATTCTAACTAGTATGTATGAAGGGAGTGGGTGCAGGAGACAAAATGGCTAAAATGAAAATGGGAGCCAGTGGTCCCCATCTGCAGCCACAGCTCAAGATGCCTACAGATGTCATGTGACATGTGATGTGTGAAGGAGGGAGGGGCAGAGAAATGGGATGGGCAGGGAGGGTGCTCCTGGGGACAGTAGCCTGCCCACCGCCCTTCACTTCTTGGCCTTGCCCTGGGCAGCTGTAGCTTCCATGGCTTTAGGCACTGTCTCTTCATTCCCTAGAAACTACCTGTGCCTGATGGGCTTCAAGCTCTTGTCCAATTCATACACAGTGGGGGTAGCAGTCGGCAGGTTCGGCTCCATGATGGCCTCTTTAGAGAGACCCTCCAGATGCTTGACAGTGCCCCAGGCTGTTGTCATGGACTGCAGTCAGCATCCGTTTTCTTTCCTTCATCTGGGGAACTATTTTTTCATTCCAAAAGGGCAGAGCTCTGGCAATAGTGTCCTTCAGACTCTCACAGGAGGGTAGGTGATCTTCTGTGAGGTCTGCATACCTGCGATCCTTACCGATGTTGCTGTAGAAAGGATGGTCGGGCTCCGTCGGAGGTGGTGGGACATCATAGGAGCGCCTCCAGATCTTCACCTGGGCCCCACTGTGCTTTGCAGCAGTTTCTGCTTTATTGAGATCAGTAAGGCCCCCATAGTGCTGCTCACTGAGGTGCCAGGTCCTCACTACAGGCAGCCACAACTGATCAGTGGCATCTAGCACTGTCCAGAAGGTGTGGATCGCTCTCTTCTGCACTGAGGTAATGCAGGTGTCAAATTCATAGCCAGCATGCCAGCTCACCGTGTTTCACCTCCTCGTGGCCCACTGGGCTCAGGTCGGAGGCGTACCAGCCGCTGAAGTAGTTTTCCAGGTTCCACAAGCCCTCGCCATGCTGGATCAACACCATTTTGTAGGCAGCCATGCTGGTGGGCTTGGGAAGCGGCGCCCTCTGGGGTTTGCAGATTCCAGAGTCACAGCCCAATCCACCCTTCCCCCACAGTGCCTGTGTGCTCGCCAATTTTTTAATCTTTGTTATAGAGACAAGGTCTTACTGTGTTCCTAGACTGGTCTTAGACTCCTGGGCTCAAGCAATCCACCACCCATCTCAATATCCCAACGTGCTGGGATTACAGGCATGAGTCACCCCACCCGGTGGCTCACGCCTTTCTCTATATTCCTACCAAATTTCTATCTATGTGAGTAAATCAATGTAAAATGCTTTAAACAGCCTGGTATATAGTCAGTGCTCCTCAGTGTTAGCTGCTGTTACTACCACTCAGTGCCTATGAAATGCAGTACACGAGGGCAGGAGGGGAGGAGAGAGGATGGGGAAAATTATATCTGTTAAATCAGTAAAAGTGAAAATCCTATCCATGCCAGACTCCAGAAATGTAGAGTTGATAAGATATAACCATTGTCTTCAAAGGACACAGTCTAGAGAGGAAATCGATATATAAATGAGCATGAGAATGCCATGTATCAGTGGTCCCCAACCTTTTGGACACCAGGGAGCGGTTTCTTGGAAGACAGTTTTTTCATGGATGGCAGGGGCAGGGGATGATTTCAGGATGAAGCTGTTTCACCTCAGACCTGCAGGCATAAGATTCTCATAAGGAGCACACAACATAGAGCCCTCACACACACAGTCCCCAGTAGGGTGGACACTTTGATGAGAATCTAATGCTGCTGC